AAAAAAAAAAAAAAAAAAAAAAAAAAAAAGGTGAGATAACCAATAAAGTACGAATATTTCTAGAAAAAAATGAAGGCGAAAACCAAAAGAGAACAGAACATACCTTATCGTAGATTTCAAACTTTGTGCCACAGATATTTGACGTCACAGTGGCCACATAGCCATCTTCAACCTCTCTTGTCTTTATCCCCATCAGAGTCTTAGAGATCAAGAATTCCAGTTTGCCCTTCCGCCTCCTTTCACGGGCAATAAGCAAAAGCCGATCCTGCCGCTCTCTTCCCTCCTGGACATCAAAAAAAAAAAGAATGTATATATATTGTCAAACAGAGCTCCCCGGTAAACAGTAGGCAGAGAGGGAGAAGAGGACAACAAACGAGGGGCTGTGACAATACATGCGGTGCATCATGTGCGAGCAAGTTGCGCACGTGCGCCGCATAGCGCACGCGCATACGTGTGCATGGACGTGATGCAGCGCAATTACGAATTTAAAAAAAAAAAAAAAAAAAGGGCTAGCTTTGGTAACCAAATGTGTGCCTCCCTTTTGAGAATTGTAGGTGCACCAAAAAAAAACAATTTGACACCACATCCTACTCCGCACTGGATCTAGTCTGTTTTCCTAAAAAAAACCTGCAAAGAATTACCAGGGATCCCACACATTTGGAAGGACGTTCATTGAACTACAGAGAAACATGAGCAGGCCAGCAATATATTCTGGATTCGGATTCAGGTCTGTGTTCCAAGAGTTATGGGTTATGAACTTAATCCAAACACTACAGTAGCTGTCTCATTTATTTTGTTTTTCAGACTTTTTCTTCTACTTACGCACAGTGGCCCTAAGGGCCTCGCTCCATTCATCAGCACTTGCACAAAAGAAAAACATATGGCTTGTATGGTTCCAATTTCTCGGAGAAGATTCATTCTAGTTTTGCACATTTGGTGAGTAGTGGAGTGAAGCCCCGAAATCACATGCGGAGTTAGCAAGTTGGTAACCCATAACTGCTGAAACACGGACCTGGATTCGAAGCTACATCATATATAGCTGGCCTGCTCCCTCCTTACTACAAATCCAGTGACTACCCTTCTCCTGCTGACGGGATCCTTACTGATTTTTGGCAGGGACCTTTTGAAGTACCGGCAGGGTTTGTCAGAATAATGTGAAAGGGCCGAAGGGCTCTCTCTCTCTCTCTCTCTCTCTCTCTCTCTCTCTCTCTCTCTCTCTCTCTCTCTCTCTCTCTCTCTCTCTCCAGCGTGTATACACACATCACGGTTGCTTTGTTTGTTTTTTTCTCCCTCTGCGCATCTGCGATCAGTGCACTGCCCAGCGCACCTCACGTATGCGCTGCAAGTATGAAAAGTACAGATATATATCGTCAAACATATATATGAAAAAACTCCGACGAAACAGTTTGTCACAGCCCCTCGTTTGTTGTCATCTTCTCCCTCTCTGACGACGGTTTACCGGGCAGTTCTGTTTGACGATATATACCACGACTTCGATAGCACCCTGCTACAGTTTTCTCCGGTAAGGTTGAGCGTCTGTGGTCGGGGCCGTCACTACGCGGTCATGCAGAGCCTCTAGTGCCAGCGGCGTGTCTGGAGTGTATTTTTTGGCTGTGATAGACCTTTCTTTGTTTCGTGGGTGTTTTGCTGGCTTGTGATGGGGTGTGAACCGGCAGTCTGTAGAGTTTTCCATCTGGTGTAGGTGAGTGATAGTCTGCTTTGATGGTCATCACAGGTACCTTGAGGGCAGTGGTCGGTGCCCACCTTAGGGTATCAGTTGTCGGGCAGTCGTTGATGCTTAACTACAGCCTGTTGGTAAACGTGCTAGGAATTTTGATCTCTTCCCCCAGATCGATAATTCCAAGACCTCCCGTTGTTCTAGGCTGGGCTATGTGATGTTGCGCCACTCACATGATGCAGAGGACGTCTTTGTGATTATCCTTTTCCGAAGGAGGGCCGAGGCTGCCTGCCTGAGTCAAGGTGTTTGTTCCTGGTTAAGGGATGAAGAGACCAGTTTATACCATATGGCTCCAAAGATTGCGTATCGCTCCTGTTCCTACGGATCCTGGTCGCACCCTGGCTATACTCTTCGTCCATATATGGACATATACCAGGGTGTACCGCGCTTTATGGGATTCCGACTTCCAGGACAATTTCGTTCATCCTCGTGTCGTTGAGGAGACTCTCGGGTCTTGTTCTCCTATCTCCGTTACCCGTGGAGATAATAAGAAGGAGCGGTTCTTCAGTCAGATGGTCCCTGACCTACATTACTCCCTACCCCTTCAGATGTTGGATAGTACCCACTTGGCCCAGTTTCCGCTCCACCCAAATGACAAACAATCATGCCCCATTCCAACAAGGTTCCCGATGACGGAGCCACCACCTCCTTTACTGTTGTAGCTGGCACAATCCCTTGGGCCACCATCTGTCGGGATGCAATACCAACCTCCCATCGCCCTAAAGAACCCACCCCACAAAGCATAATTGCGCTTTTGTTAAAATTGTTTTTTTTTCCATTTCACAATTTGTACTTGAGTGACCTGAAGAGGTCTGTCCGTAAGGCCCACTTTCAGGGATGAGTGATCATCAATGAGACTACTGCTCATCATTGTCTCCTTGATTTCTTTGTTTTATTTTGTGATAGATGATGGTGGCCGAAAACAAAAAAAGAAAAAGGAGAGAAAGATGAGTGGTAGTCTTGTCTATATGATCATTCATCCCAAGAAATGACCCTTTTTGGACAGGCCAAATGACCCTTCTTTTTTTTTTTYTTTTTTTTTTTTTAACAAAGCTCCGATCTATTAGTGAGCAGCAGCACGTGCTGGGAACCGGGCCCAGTGTCCCTTATAATAGGAATACAATGCTTGTTAATGGTTCAGGATGATTTGAGGATGATTCCAGATGATTCCGGATAATTCAGGAAGATTCAGGATGAACTACTGGATTATAATTTATAAACTAGGAGGATTAACCAGAAGGTCATTCTACTGAGGATTCAATTTCTATCCTATCCCTAATTCAGGTGATCTTATCAATTTAGCATTCCTCTTGAGGTCACTCGAGTATAAATTGTGAAAAGAAGAAAAGAAACTCAATTTTAACAAAAATGCAACTTAAAATTGAGTTTTTTTTTTTCTTTTCCGCAATTTACGCTTGAGTGACCTGAAGGGGTCATTTGGCCTAAGGGTCATTTTTTGGAATGAATGCTCATAGACAAGAATGCCATTCATTTTTTCCTCTTTTTTCCTTCTTTTTCTTACCACCATCATCTATCACAAAATAAAACAAACAAAAAAAGAACAATCAATGATGGAGCATAGGCCCATACTTCAGCCAGGCTTACGGTGAAAGGAGCCACCATCTCCCGAGCCCTTACTGCTATGCCACAGACTAATCCCTTCAATGCTCACCATCCTTCAGGACACATTACTAACCTCCTTCCGAGTGTAATACTCAAATAGTAATGTCGTCCGACTGTCAGAGTTTTATTATTCTCATACAGTCAAGAAAAACAAAAACCACATCACAAGAATAGGCATTAACATACATGGTCTTAGCTCAGTAGGTAGAGCACGGGTGTTGAATGCGCATTGTGGTATAAGGGCGCAGGTTCAAATCTTTGGACCTGTGCCGTGTGCGATTGGCCGGCGGGTGTCGACCACCGCAGGCGTGTGTGTACACCAGGCAATGCAAGAGGTCCGATGTTTGAAACCGGGCTGAGCGCAGGGGTTTCAGGATACAGCTCCGATCTGTGGGATCCAGCCATTGTGGCTGCTACATCCCCTGGGCGTGCCACACGACATTGCTCCGTGTGGGTTGTTGGAGAGCATTGCTTGCACCCCCTCCTGGG